GAAAATACATATCAGTTCGTAGGATTCCCGTGTAATTTTACACTCAATATCCAACACTTTTATCTGATGATTTTTTATTTTTATTTTATTTTTTGGTATGATCTGCAATCTAATGAATTATTGTCCTATGTTTTAATGCTTCGTGGGTAAATGCAGAGGTTTTCGTTTTACCAAAGCCTCAATAGAGTACTTTCTAGCCATTAGGCCGGTAGATCTTGCATGCTCGCGAGTTTGTTATTGGCACATTGCTATGGTGCTCCGATATTAATTTTATCTCATTTCAAGTTTGAGGATGTTTATTATATAATTATATCATTTTATTGTCTTGCATCTTTTATCGTACACTAGTACGTGCCTCGTGCGATGCACGGGACAAATATGTTAAATGAACTATTTTCACATGCTCTGTTCGTTTAAGTCTAAAAAACAATATGATAACGTCTTTTTTTTATCTCTTTTAATAAGCGTTAGGTATAAAATACAATAGAGTTATAATATATTTCCACCTCTTTTAATCAACATTGTTTTTTTAGTCCGAATATTAAATATGAGCATGTTAGAAATAACTTGTAAAATAATTAAAATATTATCTTACTAACACATTTATACTAATATAAATTTGACTTTAGTATCCATGTTTATTTATTGATATAAGAAAAAAATAACAGTGGTTTAATTTTATATGAACCTCATTTTTAAACTTTATTCAAAATTTATTGTTAAAGATGCTCTTACTATTAGACCCACACGTTATTTTTATAATTTTTTTTTTTTATTTTTAATGTTAAATCATCCTACCTTAAAATTCAACATAAATAAAATTATGCTATTTTATAATATAAATATGAATGAATCTTATAATGGTTAAATCGGGCCACATCAGAATTGGGGAATATCTAAGATAATCGAGGGTTTTCCCTTTTCAACGGATTGAAAAATTACCGATCAAGAAACCGCCATTGATATTCATTCTTGTGCAGAAAACCAGTTTAACACACTCTCTGCATGCACCATTATAGGCAAGTCAAAGTTGTACTCTCAGCATCAGCAGTCGTTCGTTTGTGTACAAGCTCTGTACATATCATTTCTCGCCCATACACGATCGCCCAGAAATTCATCTCTTACAAATTTGCTCCGGCCAACAGAACAACCGCAGTTGCTCGATCGTTCGCTCGATTCAGCTGATTGATCGGAAAAATTATGGCGCCCCCGTCTTCGTCGGATGAATTTGGAGTCCCATCCGTCACCGTAACCCTAATCCCAGGCCTCCCGAACGATTTAGGCGCGTTGATCCTCGCATTCGTGCCCTACTCCCACCACCCCCGCCTCAAATCCATCTGCAAATCATGGCGGCGCTTCTTCTCCTCGAAAGCCCTAATTTCTCTCCGCCGGAATTACTCGATCGCCCCTGAATTGCTGTGTATTTTCCCGCAGGACCCTTCGGTCTCCTCCCCTTATCTGTTCGACCCCAAAAACCTCTCCTGGTCCCCCCTGCCGCCTATGCCCTGCAACCCCCACGTTTACGGCCTCTCCAACTTCATCACCGTCTCTGTGGGCCCCCACCTCTACGTCCTCGGCGGTTCCCTTTTCGACACGCGGTCCTTTCCCCTCGACCGGCCGTCTCCATCCTCTTCTGCCTTCCGTTTCGATTTCGCTACCTTCTCGTGGGATTCGCTTTCACCCATGATCACTCCACGCGGAAGTTTTGCTTGTGCTGCCATGCCCGAGCATGGTAAGATTGTGGTGGCTGGCGGAGGTTCGAGGCACACCATGTTCGGGGCTGCTGGGAGTAGGATGAGTTCGGTCGAGATGTATGATATCGAGAAGGATGAATGGGTGGCTTTGGATGGTTTGCCTAGGTTTCGGGCGGGTTGTGTTGGGTTCTTCTTGGGAAGGGAGTTCTGGGTGATGGGAGGGTATGGGGAATCGAGAACGATCTCGGGAGTTTTTCCGGTGGATGAATACTACAGAGATGCTGTGGTTATGGAGTTAACAAGTGGGGGGAAATGGAGGGAGCTTGGGGATATGTGGGAGGAAGGGGAAAGACGGAGGCTCGGGAAAATCGTCGTGATCGGGGATGAGGGCTTGGGTTCGCCTGAGATTTTTATGCTCGACAAGAGTGAAATCTTCCGGTAAGATTATAAATGTCATATTATATTTGTCTTGATTTGGAATTCTTGTCGTTGTGGGTGTAGTAGCTAAATGAGTTGAATGCTATCAGAGTAGGACCTTGGTTAGTTTAAAGCAATGGTATAGATGTTTAGCAATTGAAGATGACTAGTGAGTTGTTGTGCATTCTCCAAGTACAACACTTCTTATCAGGTACTGATATCTTCTTCCATTTGAGAACTCAAATTGATTCTGATTGTATTGATGGTTGATTAGTTGTCCCTTCTGTGTTACAGTCTAGTATATTGTTGGAGCTATAGATTAGGCATGTGATATATCGCCTTTTACTTTCTCGTAATTGAGCTGTTCTGTGTGTGTGTGATTTGGTAATTACAAAAAGTGGCTCTGATATTGAGCTAATTATGATAATACCTATTGCGCTTGGTTGGATTATAAAATAAACCCTCAGCGACATTTGTTTCTGTTTCATAGTTGTGCAAGCTGTTTCATCTGAGTTTTTTCTTGCAACTTTCCTTTTCCATCTCTTATGGATTTCTTTATTTTCACACCATGTAAAAAAGGGTGGTGAATATAACATGTTTTGGTTTTGTACCTTTTACCATATTTGTAGGTATGATATGAATTCCAATCGCTGGGTAAAGGAGACTTGTGTGCCTAGAAAAACCTCCGACGACTCGTATGTTGGTTTTGCCGCATTAGATGGGGAGCTTCACTTGCTTACTTTTTTCAATGTAAACGATTCAACAGATGGCCGAAGGTCACGCCCTCATAAGAGGTCAACAACTCTGCTCATACAGATATATCATCCTAGGAAAATGTCATGGAGGTCAGTTATTGCAAAACCACCTTTTCATGAGCCATTAGACTTCAGAACAGCAGTATTGTGCACCATACGACTTTAGATTTGCATATTTGATGTATGTTTGTCGTATACCTATCTGTCTACACTCTGTATGGTGCTCCTGGGCATGATACATACATATAAGATTTTGTACAGTTTGGTTGATTCTATTGAAGACTACTGTTTGTGAACAGTACACTGTACTTGATGATGTTACGTTTGTTATCCGAGCCTCATTGACATATGCATAGTTATAAAAACTGGGAAGTGCAATTCTCCATCAACTCTCCTAGCAAATAGTCTTGTGTCCGACTGAGTATAAGACCTATTTCTAATATATAATGTTAATATACGTACCGTTTGCAACATTTGAATAATAAGGACATTTTGTGCAAATGACGATCAACATCAAATGTTCTGTTTTTCATTCATTTAGTTTCTAATTCTATTACAATTTGATTTAAAAACATTGCTTCAACCAATGCTTGAAACACCATACAGGTGATTATATTAGTAAGACACCGGTATATGGTTAACTGTTTTTTTTTTTTTTTTTTCCGCAACGATAGAAATATGGTTAACTGGTAGCATTAACTTTAGATTTATAGAAAAATAATCTTGATATAAAAATATAAAATTACGTTAAAAAAAATTCGGTATTTACTGATTTTTTTGCCTGAATCAATATTTTTGAGAAAAATGTATTTAGAGGGGAGTAATGCTATATGTACATAATGTTGTACATAGAACTGTACATAACACTCACATTGAGTGGGACCCATTAAAATTAAAAAAATCAAGTGGACCCCACTCCATGTGAGTGTTATGTACATCTTTATGTACATTTATTATGTACATGTAACATTTTTCATTTATAGAGGGTAATAGGTCCGACCACTGGTAACCTAAATTACTATAACATACTATGATTAAAATGAGATATTAACGATCACCATTACGTCGACTTATCATTATTTTTAACCTAAATTACTATAACATACTATGATTAAAATGAGATATTAACGATCACCATTACGTCGACTTATCATTATTTTTAACCTAAATTACTGTAACATACTATGGTTAAAATGTGATATTGACGATCAACATTACGTCGATTTATCATTATTTTCAAATTATTAGTTGTATATTCATAAATCATAATGGCTGAATTAGTACAAAGCATCCCATCAACTTATTCGACACGTTTTTTATAAAAATTGCTCAATGTTAAAATTCAGTCAAACCTGGGTACGAAAACAGTAAACCACAGAGAAGAAGGACTAAATTGAAATTAAACAAAAATAATAGTATGACGTAAGTGGTGAACGGCCTCATAGTCATAGCTCATGGCGTTTTACCATTTCTTTACTCTGTTGGTCGGTTGTGTCGCGTAAAGCATCATCAAACACAACATTTGTGACCAAAACATTTCTAACATTCAAACTCACGAAGTTTAATTTTGAAAATAATTATTTTCAATAAATTTATTAGCTTTTAAATTGAAGTATCATAAAATAAAAAATAATAATAAATAAAAAATATAATATTTCATATAACATAAATATGCATTTTGTGATACATAATGCTTGTACGAATTAAATGTTTGGCGTGTTTGACATGATACTTATTTCTTGAACAACTAATTCAATGTATAATTATATACTATGAAATATTTTCATTATTAAAAGAGTTCAATAATTCTTTTTTTTTCATTATTTTTATTGGAATTATATACTTTATTCTTATTTTTTTCAAAACAACTTGTCTCGCTAAATAAAACAGATGAAAAATTGTTGATGTATATATGATAACAATATATTAACTGAATTTTAATAAAAATAGCTTAATATTAATTGATAATAATTAATATTTTAAAGCATGTGACTGAGTAATGGTGTTTTTCATTGGAAATATATATATATAAATTATAATAATGTTTGAGGAGAAAACAATGAAATAGAATGAATAATATATTTTTTAATATGCATTATAATTTAATTGAAAAAAAAATAAAATAAATAATTATTGTTCCAAAAAACAGAAGTCTTGGAATTTCGACCTCTTTGGCATATAAAACGAAAACTTTTAGTTAATTCCACAAAAAAAAAAAAAAAAAAAAAAAAAAAAAAAAAAAAAAAAAAAAAAGTGAAAATGTGACAATCACCATAGATTGTGATAAAATCATAAAATGGAAATATCAATAAAGTGCATGTATTTAATTTTTACAAGGTGAATTGCGAACCAGAACATTGAAAATTATGGAAAAATTCAATCTTATTAGGACAATACTTTCACTCGGTTTTGTTATGAAGTCAACAGTTGGCTCCATAGTGAAGTCAACCTTCTATATACAACAAATAAACTTACCATATTCTCTAATTACCTAAATAACACTAATATAAATTTAAGGGAGGTTTATTTGTTGTATATAGAAGGTTGACTTCACTATGGAGCCAACTGTTGACTTCATAGCAAAACCGTACTTTTACTTATGAAACCTTAAAACAATATAGTTAATGTTACTTTTAATTATCAATTATTAGTAGTTATGGAACTTATGATTTGGTTGTTAACTTATGTCTTGTTGGGAATATTAAGACTTATGTGCTGCCTGTGTATAAGACCGTGTTCACGTTTAAACGAACAAACAATTTTTTTTATTATTATTTTAATATATTTGATTTTTTTTTTTTTTTTCAGTATAGACTCGTTCATTCAAATAGTCAACAGTCAAACCCCTGCGTACAACCAGTGCTACTACCGTGTGCCTTGGCACACCTAGCAAGGTGTGCCAAGGCAATTTAAAATGAACATGTTTCATTACAAAATGAACATGTGTAAATATGTTTACACATGTTCATTTTGTAATGAAACATGTTCATTTTAAAAATGCTTTGGCACACCTTGCTAGGTGTGCCAAGGCACACCTAATTATTTGCGGCGTACAACACTTTACACAAATTTAACTATAAAATAAATTAATAAATTACATATAATATATAATTATTCAAGTCACATGACATTCCTTTAAATTTTTTTATTTCTCCAGAATGCAGTATATATAAACATACACAGACACACACAAGTTTAACCTCGCAATAAACCATTTCCATTAATTCTAATCACATTATTCACATAAAAATTGCTCAACCTGAAAATTGTTATTCTCTCAGGCAAATTTATAATAATGTCTGTAAAAATATTATTTGCTGTTGCAGCAATAATTATAATCCTATGCTCGAAAAATTACGAGGCGGCGCGACTTTTAGGCGAAGAAAACGAGCAATGGATGAGAAGAAGTGAATCGAAACTTCTGCTCTCGTCCTTACAGCGAAGGCCGGTTAGGCCGCCAGCACCGAACGGGTGCACGTGGGTCCCGGGAAGGGGCGGCCTGCCGTGTGCCTCCACCATCGGCAACCGGAACTTCGCCGGAGTACCTCCTCCGGCGGTCGGTGATGTGTACCCAAGGAAAGAAATAAAAACCAATATTTTTCCTCTTCTTTGATTTTTTTTTTTTTTTTTTTTTCATGAACATGTTTTTAAGTTGTTTAGAGCAAAGTAACAGTCCTTTAGTTATAAATTAGATGTGGATTTAGGATTGTGATCTATTCATGTTACTTAACTGTTCTGTTTTGTCCTGTACTCTTTCATGCAATATGCAATATGTTCTGTCAGGATTTGTAACCGTTAGATCATCATGTAACCGTCGTGCATAGTTGATCGAACAGTTACAACCCCTACAAAATGATTCAGTAACGAAACCGTAGAAATTTCAAAAATTATAATACAATATTATTTTGTTCCAATAAATATCAATAAAATAATGTATATCATATATTATAGAACATATTCTTGTGAAACCACTCTTGATTTGATTATTTGAACTTTATTATATTTATTGCAGCAAAATATTTGTAATATTATTGTTACTTGATTTAAACCGGTCAGGTTGAACTATAACAGTAGATGTTCAATCAGAATCTACAGTTGCTGGGAAAGAATTAATCCAAATAGAGGTGGCCAGTCAACGGGCAGAGACCCGGCCCGCTGGCGGGCCTCCCATGGTTGACCCTTAATCGGCCCGCCAAAACCCAAAGGCCGGCCCGTGCAACTACCCTGTCCCGGTCCGATCCCGGACCGCCGGGACCAAAAAAAAAAAGAGAACTGGACACGGCCCATAAAGCCACGGTGCCTGTTCTCGGAACCGGCAACCTACGGGCCAGTTGCGGGCCGAGCCAGGATCGGGCCTGGCGGGACGGTCCGTGGTCATGTCTATCCAACAGAAATGAAATATTTATCTGCAGACATTGTGAAAACCAAGTGAATATAGCTTTTGTCATTCAAACCCATCAAAAAAAAAAAAACTCCATCTCAAATGAGCAAAAGGGAAAATAAGTTAACCCTAGACCATATATTGAATACAAATCTATGAAAACAATATTACAAACAACATAATATCATCCCTACTCACATGAAACACACACACACACACACACACACAAAAGGTCCCATATCCAATCCCCAAGTCATGATCATAAGAAAGCACAAGATTCAAATGGATGCAACTATCATATACAATTACACCCAATAGAAATCATTTCAAGAGTGCAGCACTTATCTTACCCTTCAAATCCTCGCCGCTAACTCCACCATCCGCCCGAACGGTAAACGTGTGATGAACAACTTCACCACCGTCACTTATCCTCATAACCGACTCGTGGGCCGTCAAATTCTCCTCGTTTAACACTTCCAAAACCCTCGAAACCGGGTGCCCCTCGATCGGGCAACTGAACCTCACGACCGCATCTTCTTCCCTCTCCTGAAAATCGAAATCAGAAACCGGGCCACACTCGTTCTCCTTCGAGACCCCCTTTTCGGCCTCCAAAACCCTGATCTTCGTCTGGAGATCCGTGATATACGCAATGGCATCCCCAAGAAGGGATGCTTTATCCATTTTCGAAATATTCGGTACAACTGCTCGTAAAGCGTAAAACCTCTGGTTCAGCTTCTCACGCCTCTGCCTCTCGGCCTCAACGTGATTCAACGGCTCATCCCTCCCGTTAGCGGGCTTTCGGCCCCTTTTCCTGGGCTTCCTCTCGTCGGACAATAGGAAAGAATCTTCCTTTACTTGCTCGATTTCTTGCGGGCTAAGCCCGTTTGAAGAATTCCCATACACCTGTCGTTGCAGGTCGAATGACGAATCGGGCGAAAAAACCGAGTCGTCCTCAACTTTGGGCGAGAAACTGATTATATTACTCGGGCCCAACCTTGGCCCTGGCCCTGGCCCTGGTCCGGGCCCAATGTTGAGCTCCCGCCCGAATATCTTCGGGGCAGGCTTCGGCTGGGAAAGACTCGGCTTCACCACTATGGATTTCGATATCTGGATAATGTTCCTATCCTCGGGGATGGATTTTCTCGACCCGATCTCGATAACGCCTGATTTCGAAGGAATAAAGGCGACAGTCACGAAATTCGCCAGGCTGGCTAAATACGACCTCGACTCGTATTTTTCTAAGGAGCTTTTCGGGTCAGAGACCCATATGGTCCGGCCCGAATTGAATGATTGAGATGGTATTGAGGGTTTGTCGAAAGGGAAAGCGAAGTACATGGACGTGAGGTAGAACATCTCAAGATCCGAGATTCTGTCCAGATTAGCGGCGATATTATCATCCTCTAATCCCCTAAAGCAAGAATGGATCTTTTGAAGGACCCATTTTTGGCCCTTCTCGGATTCCGCCGAGTTTCGGTTGATTTCTTTCTCGGTCGAATCTTTGCAGTGGCCATCCCCCCAGATGAGAGCAGATCGGCCGGATTTGGATTTCGAGACGTGCCAGTAAATGGCGTAGGCCCAGTTGGGATCTTGCTCGACTAGCTTGCAAAGGGTGTCGTGAACTCCAAGGTCCCCACCGGAGGCGGTGAATTCGGACAGGATGTTGTTCGAGGCCGACCAGGCGAAATACTCGGTAGCCTCTGTTCCTAATATCCTCTCCACTAGGGCTTTTTCATCTTCACTCAACCAGAATTTAGTTCCCATCAGGTGTTTGAGGAAAGTCCTCAGTGAGAACTCGATACGAAACCCAGATAATTAACTGAGAAAGAACCTACAAAACCGTCTCAGAATCACACAAGTTGCAATCTTTGAGATTTGTAAGGACGATTTTATAGATAACCTAGGGAATCGGATATGAAAGTAGACAAAAGAGTTGACCTGCAATATATTTAATAAGCCAAAAATCAGGGTTCTAGCAAAACAAATCTAAAATCTAACGAAGACCCTGCAGATCCTAGGCTAGCACCAAACAATATTCGCTAATCAGCAGAGATTTTATGTAATTTTGTGGTGAAAAGATATGTAACCCCCATCAAGAATGAAGCTTTACCTTGAAGAACAACGAGGAGACTACTAAGTAATATTCGAATTCAACAAATCTGGGTTTTTTTTTATGAATCAGAGATCTTAAAACATTCACACTCCATTGAATAAATCTGGGTTTATCTTGGTTTTTTATGAATTAATCAATATTTTACAGTAACTGAGGAGAAATCCAAAGACGAAATTGGAGAAGGGCGAACAAAGTAAACAGTAAAAGGAAGAGAGAGAGAGAGAGAGAGAGAGAGAGAGAGAGAGAGAGAGACTATTTGGGTAAGGTTTATTTATTTTATTATCGTATAAAATTAATGATACACCATACCACGACGTCACATCAAATTTATGAAAATGATATTAGTATGAATATGATATGGGCGTTACTATTTACCGCCCCCTATTACTAGTCACCGTCCCCCTTGGACGATTTTGCCTTTTTTATTTTTTGTGTCCGCAAAAATGTCGAGCAGTTCGGAGGTAAAAAAAAAAAAACCGACCGGCCCGTTTTTCCGCACGGAACCGGTGACGTCCGGCCGACCGGACCGGACGGCTTAACACACGTCCGGCCGGTTCGACCGGACACGTCCCTGGCCGTGCGAAATGTGTGGCCGTACAGACCGGTCGTTGTACTAACCGACCGGTCGTACGGCCCACTTGGTGTCCGGCCACGACGGCCGGTTATGACCCGGTCCGGCCGGTCCGACCGGCCGGACACCATATAATTTTTTTTTTTTGTTTTTTTTTTTATTTTTATTTTATTATTAATTTTAAATGCTTTAAAATTATTAAATACATTGCAGGTGTCTTTAGAAGATTTTGGAGGAGATGGTGTTGATTATCGTTCCACTTTCGATACAACTACGCTGTTTATTAGTGATGTGGAGGCTATTAAGGATGCAAAAAGTACGGCA